TTTTATCATCATCATTTTATAAAGATGGTAGAAACATGAAATCTGATGTAAAACATTAAAAGTACTATTTCCCCCAAAAAAAGCACCATCCATGAACTTACTCTATATTAATTATTTCCAAAAACTTGTAAAGGGCTACTGCAAATTCTAATTGTGGTTAGGATAATATTAACAGAAGAGGGGAAACAAATCTTAGTACCTTACTGGTCAAAAGTTGTAAATCAGTTTGAGTTTTAGTGAACTATCGAACAAACTATTCTAAATAAGGAAACATGCCTCTTTTCAGGGAAATATGGCAACATTAAATAATCTACACAGGCACTCCATCCCAAACTCCCACCTTCCCAAACATATACACACTGCCCATATTATTTTATTTTTGGAATTTCTCCATAGATAAAAAGTACTGTCTGTGCCAATTCCTAGTCAGCCCAGGTACGTGTGCATGATTGCAATTTCTGTACGTGCCAACGAAATGTAAGGTAATTGATAGTCTGTGACATTTTCTTCATGTATAATGACCTTATTGTGTATATTGATTATTAGTGCTTAGAATTTTAAGAATTCAGTAAATAACTTAAAGAGACTCCTTCGAATAAAATGTAAGATACGACAACTTTAAGATGGGTTATAGCCACGATGGCTATGTGCAATGATTTCTGGTAAGTCATTTTTTATTTTAATTTATTTGTCTAAACACTTAAAAAAACACAAATTAAAAACAGAAGGAAACTTAAACAATATATAGAGTTTTCTCTTTAACTTTATACAAACAAAAAGTGTAGTATATTATTGTTATGTAGGCCATTTAGACATATTCTGGTTTGTAAGTGTTGTTGGGAGAATCCATGACAATGTTTTCCAGATTCTCCAAGTCATAGCACCAACACTACCTCCAAGTTACTGTGCAAGTGGTCAGATCTATGAGCCCTGTCGCATTTATATCTAGGAGAAATTGAAATATACAGTAAACATTGTCCTATTTCTTCCCTTTCACTTTGATTTCAGTCGCACATAATAATTTGCAAAGACCCCTTATGGTGACATCGCTGCTTGCGGTGGCCCAGGGGTGTAGGGCAAGTGAGTTATACTTATCTAATGCTGTCCTCTGTAGGCAACACAGTTTCTAATCTTCAGCTCCTGGTCCTTCATTCTGCAAGGAACTTACATCATTACAACACTAGTCACTAATTTCTATGGAAGATGCCATGAGAATGAGCAAAATAATGCCTTATAACTCACAGCCGTCTCTACAGCTGGGGGGAGCAACATAACTTGATGCTCAAGATTTGGAAGGGGTGTGAGAAAGCCGCTTTCATTAAGGTGTATTTGTATATTTGTGCCACTATCACTTTCATTTAAAAAAACTGTTTAGCACATGTGGCCAAGTGTACACTGAGTCATCATTTTTTCTTTAAAAGCATAACATTCAAAGGAAGGTATAGAGATTGGAAACAGGGAGGACAATTTGGCACTGAATTAGGGTATTCCTGGGCACACCTGAAAAACTTACTGTGTACGACTATGTTAAAGACACAAAATGTTGGTCTGCAGCCATCAGCTCAACACAATATTCTAACCAGATGCAGATAAACTTTCCCTTTAAATGTACTTTTCAGGCAGAATAATCTTATCACTTGTCCTATTGTTCTCTAACCCATTTCCCTTTAAATTTCCCCTTTGCTTCATGTAAAACTAATTAACTCACTTCTCGTAGTCTTTTCATATAAGCACTCTATCTAGGCCGTTCTATATCAACGCCTATTGCTCCATTCAATAACTTGGAGAAGTAATGGCCCATCTACCAGGCAGTGGATACAATCCTTCAGTAATTGGTGCTGTTCCATCAGGGAAGGTCTGTAAAATGAAGAGATTATTCTGCATGAGCTCTTCCTGGATAGCTCTCTCTATTTCATCCTTGGACATTTCTGCATTCAGACTCACATCTTTCAGCAAAACACACTTTATTTTATCCCCCACTCACATAAAGGGGGCCCAGCAGTGCCATACAAAAGGCTTGCCATCCTGCTGTTCAGCAGTAAAACTATCCAGGGAGAATATCAGCCATTCCTGTCTGTTGTGTTATTTTACAGCTTTTACTCACCATGTCAAAGTATCCATGTCCTGCAGGTTTTAGTGCAATTTAAAGACTTCTACTAAATGTGTGTTTGAATAGGGCCAGAGGGAGGAGGAAGGGGGGCAAGAGAGACCTATCTTACTGGATAGACCCTGCATGATGTGGCGTCCTGTGGCTCTTCCTCTTTTTCACAGGACCTCAATTGTGTGGAGGCTGTCGGCAAAAAAATAAAGCAACAAAAAGAGTAACTTATCCTCCCTCCAGAGGTCACAGTCAGACCACCCCCCTAAACCATCAAAGGGGTGAATTTATATAGCAGCAACAAGTTAATTGGCGTCAGTGATCTATTTTTTACTGTTAGGAATGCAAACAAAACTCAAAGAACAAAATATTTAATTGTGTGACATTTCCAAATAATGATCTCCCCCTTTAAAGTTGCCAGGGAATCGAGTGTCTTTCAGATCTTAAACTCATGTCTGACTGTTAATCAGATGTGGAAAAAAACAAATGTAAATTAATCCATTAAATAAATGCCCTATGATTAAAAGTTGTGGATCTACGGTACTGTCAAATTGTGGACCTGAATGAGAGCAAATGTGAGCCGAAAGTCTCGTTAAACAAACCAACACAAATTTAAACCCCAAGACATAGACAAGTTTATTCACAAATAACTCTGAATTGCAGCAAAAACAGATGTTAATGTCAAAGTTTAGACTAAAATAGGTACGGTTATTTTCAAAATAAATATTGCCATTTGGGTTTTAATGCGGTTCAGAGATTAATCCAACTTTAAAAAAAACAGGATATACATTTCACTATGAACATTTTTATGTTCTCTTGGATGCATTTATGTTAATTATATTTGATTATAACATGGAAATATAACAGTTCTTTTTGTGAACAAGCATGTTCTGGCAGCTTTAGGAAAGGTAAACTTAAAGGAACACTTCAAGCCTGCTGCAGTGGTTATGGTGCCAGGAGTGCACCCTCTCAGGGTAAGTTTTGAAACGGTTTAAGAATTCTCTGCCTAAAGAGGTGGTTTTGTCAGAGTCCATACAGATGTTTAAACTAAAATTGGATAAATACTTGCCAAAACATAACATACAGGGATATAATTTCTAATTAGTGGGGTAATAGCTGCTTGATCCAAGGAGACATTTGACTGCTATTTTGGGGTCAAGAAGGATTTTTTTTCTAGTTTGTTTCAAAATTGGAAGTGCTTCAGACTAGGTTTTTGTCTTCTTTTGGATCAACAGCAACAACATATGTGAGGAAGGCTGAACTTGATGGACGCAAGTCTCTTTCAGCTTTGTAACTATGTAATGTTCTTTCTGTTAGCTCCACTAACCACAGCCAATGAGTGCCTCCCCACACCGCCAGATTTAGCTCAGTACAGAGCTATCCAGCCCTAGAAGAGGCGGTGGTGGGTGCCCAGTGGACCCAGATAAGTTGTCAAACCATTCTCAATTTCCTGGCATTCCTGGTGGACTGTTGTAGTTATGGTGCTCTGACTGTTCCTTTATGACAGGTGAGTGAATAAACATGCAGCACGTTTTACCAAAAGCACATAAACTAGATGGCAGAGAATTGAGCAGTGAGGCTACAGGGACATGATCTATACACTAAAACTGCTTCATTAAGCTAAAGTTGTTTTAGTAACTATAGTGTCTCTTTATGCCTCTTACCAAGGTGATTAGAACAGCAAGTGATTGGATACAGTGACACAGGGCAGAACTCTGGTTAATGATGCCATCAGGGCGTTACAGCCAGTACTCCGCTAAGGAGCCATAATGAACAAAGATACCAGCATGGAACAGGTCACAATGCGATACTCCAGCAGACTGCCCCTTAACATACTACATTGATTGTCTCCTATTTAGTCCTGTGTGGCAAAGCATGAGAAAACAAATTCATATCACTTCCTTCCAATGCTCGTGGAAGGTGCACGGAGGCTGTTAGAGGACCCAGAAGCATTACTAAACAACAAGGAAGCCACCCTCCAACTGCAAATCTGCAACTTGGAGGCTGGCTCAATAAAATATAATTTTTAATGTGTTGATATGTGTATGTGTAGTACTGTGGTGTGCAGAATTGTATTTGTGTGTGTATTTTGGTGTGTGTATATAGAACTGTATGTGTGTGTATTTTGGTGTTTGTTTAGCAGTGTGTGTAGTAGTGTATGTGTACCAATATTTTGTACATAGTGTATCATAATATGTGTGTGTAGCAATGTATGTGTATGTAGCTGGGTGTGTTTGTAGCAATGTATGTGTGTGTAGCAGAGTTTGTAATGGGTAGAAAGGTGTATGTGTTTATCAGTGAGATTGTATGTGTATGTTTATCAGAGTATTTAGTATTGTGTATGGCTGGAAGTGTGGTGTGTGTGTGTGCATCCTTGAGTAGCATGTTTGTGTTTGTATGTGTGTATCCCATGAGAGTGTCTGGAATGTATATATGTGTATGTGTGTCTGTGAGTGTGCATCTCTCTCTCTCTGGGTGTTGAGAGTATCTAGATACTGTGTGGATGGGGCCAAGCAAGTGGGTTTATAAGGGGCCCCAAGAATTTTGAAGGAGGCTCTGCAGGGACATCTTGACAGCACTGACCCTTTTTGTTTGTTTTTAACATTTGTAAAAGGTTTCTCTATGGGTTCTTCCAAGGCTTTACACTACTTGCAAAATAGCACAAAGTAAAGTAGTTTTCTGATAGAAAATTAGATAAAACATTTTTTTAATATCATGAGCCCAATTCCCTTTTATACACTTTTTGTCATTCTCAGCTGAGTTAAACCTCTTACCTAGGTGCTTGAAGCAGCAAGAGATTGGACACAGTGATACAGGGCAGAACTCTGGTCAGGGACGTCAGACAGCACCGCCTCTCTAACCCCCTGCTGGAAACAGAGCTTTGAATGTGACACCCGGGAGAGCCACAGATAGACCCAGAGATATACAGGCACACAGGCAGACAGGCAGACAGCAAGCCATACATTCATACACACACACACACTAAGGGATGTGAGGGAGGGACAGACTACGAGAACATACGGCTCAAACTGGAATAAGACTAAACTTTAGAGAAAAACAGTTACAGAGTAACATAAACAGGGATACATTCTAATTAAAAACATAAAAAGTTCCAAAGCCATTAAGTATCAAACAAGAAGCTAAAGAAAGTAAACAGTTACATAAGAGTCACTTGGGACCACTTGAGAGTGAATCCATAGACACTGATACATAGATAGAGGAGCTGTTTTGGGGATGAGTGCTGCTGAGCAGGCTATAAGGATGTTCACTCACAATATAGTGTGGACCAGGCTCATCCCTTTATTCATTGCCCGTTGGATGCCTTGGCTGTTACTCCTGCTGTGCATGAAAGGATGTATGTCATCTCTTGGGTCCTCTAACCCTCTGTTCTCCAAGGACAGGCGTGTGACCCGTGAAGATTCAGCAGGACCTGTGAATACCCTGTCTGACCCTCTGTCCCTGCACATGATGAAGTTGTACGAGAAGTACAGTCGGGAGGCAAGCAGACCCCGTGATGGGAACACAGTAAGGAGCTTCAGGGCACAGCTAGGTAAGGACACCGTTTAAAGGTATTATTAACCGAACATAGGCTTGTATTGCATTACAAATTGTAAAAAAGCATGTAAAAAAAAAGTTGATCTTACAAAAAAAAAAAAAAATTACTCCCATAGTCACAGCTCGGCTATTTTATCTACATTTTGATATTTGATTATCAATTCACTGTAATGTGATGTTTGGTGAATAAAGGACATAGAAGCAACAAAAATAATCAGGAGCTGAGCTACTACACTTTGCTCGCTAAACAGTGAATTGCAGAAGGTAAGCAAAAATAGCAAAGTCCGAAAAAAGTAAATCTCCCAATTTTTTTATAGTCACAGCTGAGCTATTTTAGCCTGAATCTTGTAATCTGTTTTTCAGGTTTCTCTTTGCAATTCACTATTTAGTAAATAACACCATTTTATCTGGAATGCTTGCTATGCTCTGTGTGAGAAGAGCTCATGCCCATACCATCCTATATAATGCCTTATTTTAAAGCTATAGTAAGCCAGTTATTTAGATTTGTAAAATGTCAATGGATGGATGAGTGATGAGTGACGATATTGAACGTTTCAAGTGACTCTTAGCTTTCAAGATTCTACTCAAAAAGCAATATCATGAAGCAATCATATAATAGAAATCGAATGGCTAGATTAAAAAACAATTCAAAATTTCTCATGTCTGAGCTGTTGATTTTCAAACTCAGTGATACCCAAGAGTTCATGAATTTTAGGGTGATACAAAAAATGTAAAAAAAAAATTAAAAAAAAATGGCATATGTCTTCAAGTCAAATGTGTACACAAACTATGTTGTGGGTGTGGAAGTAACCATTTATCACCTTAATGATAACTAAAACTAGTGCTAAGTATTAATGTATTCACCTATTTTTATTACAACTGCAAAAGCCCCAGATTAAAAACTTATTCTTAACAGAAAAGTATAGTCAGTTACAAAATTAAAAGGAATCACATGGAAAACAATGGGGTGTTTCTAATGGTGCCTTGGTTTCCACGGTGATAGCTCCACTTTTAGAGCACTGCTCCTATTAGTGACATTAGTGACAATTTGTTCAATCCCCCCACATATCTGAAAAAGATTAATGGAGATGTATAGAACTCCTGGTAAGAGAGAAAAATAGTTCTTAAATGGGGCAACCATTAAAATAACTTTTAAGTGAAAAACTGGGGCAATCAGCCCACATGTTAAATTGTTTATTTAAAGTGATTGTCCCGCTTTGCAAACCTTGCCCATTTTGGGTTATATAAATGTAACGGGACATCAATTCTAATGCAAACATTCTGACAGTAAAGTAACAAATTCAGTTTTTTCCACATTTCTTGCTCCACTTTTAGAAATTTGCCCCTGAGTTACTTTCTATAAAGAACCCCAATTGTTTAATTTCTAATCCACAGTGACAGCCATCAACTGGATACATGGGATCTTGTCTCCCTGGCTCAGGGCACTGGAAATCAAATCACATAATATTGGTACTGTGACTCTTGAATGACCCTGTTTGTAATGTGCTTTGGGACATCTGAGCTTTTCCAGTAGATTGTCATGTAAATATCTTCCTATAATTGATGGACACATGAAAGGTCTAGAAATGTATACAAATAGGATCTGAGAACATTTTACTGCAGCAATGACTTACACCTGCTCCTCTTAAATAATAAAAAAAGATTAATCAACTTAAATATTTAATGTCAATATGTACCCTAAAGCTTCATGATCTAATCGGTATCCCCACCAGGCCACCCTTGCTTATATAAGAGTATTTTCTAAATCTTTACAATTCAGGGGTCTAGAAAATCTCTTTTTTTTTCCACCTTGTATGGATCTCAGTAATGTAAGCAATGCTGTGTTCATTTGGTTGATGCTATATTGATATTGACATCATGACATGGCATTAACCTTTCCTTTTTTTTCTTACAGACCCTATGGTTTCACGTTCCACCTATAAATTCAACTTAACATCTCTCCAAGAGTCTGAGGTAGTCTTGGTTGCCACTCTTCATTTTGCTCCCGAAAAGGTTAATCGTCCTGCAAGAGAGGCATTCTGCAAGAGGTCCAAAAACTCTTCTTGCCGTATTCTCTCCCCACAATTTCAGTGGATCAGTGTTGTCTTCAAGAGTGCTCTTCACAACACAGATCTAGGCTCAGTGAAATGGAACATCACCAACAATCCACCATACCGGAGAGCAACTTGGCATGCCAAAGACATTACCAGCATTATCCGGTCAACCCAGAGGGAGCAAGACTTGGTGATATCAGTTGATATAGACTTTGGGGATAAGTTTCCTGCCACTTATGAAAATGCCCCTAATGATCTGCCATACATTTTGGTCTTTGCAAATGATAGGGCAATTTCAGAGCCAAATAGTGTGGCACTGACCTTACAGAGATATGACACATCACAAACAAATGGTGGAAATCCAAAAAACTCACCCAATGCATCTTCAGAAAGCAGGGTGAGGAGAGATGCTAGCAGTTTTGTTGGTTCTCCCCATGATAATGAACTTCCAAATGTTAAGTATGTACGGTACGGTAAGCAAGATCTTTGGGACACCACATACAAATCTCTGAAACACAAAGCACCAAGGAAAGAGAAAAAGAAAAAGGGTCAAGAGAATGCAGATACATTGCCTAAATCGCCTGTTCTGCACTTTGATGAGAGGACTATGAAGAAAGCAAGGAGGAGACAGTGGGATGAACCCAAGGTCTGCTCACGCAGGTACCTAAAGGTGGACTTTGCTGATATCGGATGGAGTGAGTGGATTATATCCCCCAAGTCATTTGATGCTTACTACTGCTCTGGTACTTGTGAATTCCCCATGCCAAAAGTAAGTATACCCATCATTATTAATTATAATGTGCTAAAACGTAATTGGTATGGTTATACAAATACTATACAGCCTCTTGCTATAATCTTGCTTTTCTCTATAAACGCTCAATACCAATTATCTTATTGATTACTATGAAATCTAATTTGTATCACATAATATTGATTGATGACTACATAAGGACATATTTATTAGGATACTTTAAAAACAAACATATGCACACACATTTTAACTTATAATGTTGGCCTTTAATAAGTGTATATGTATGTTGTATGTGCATGTTGTTTTCATTTTATTTAATTATTTATTGATAGTAGAATAGTTACATAGTTACATAGCTGAATGGAGACTTGCGTCCATCAAGTTCAGCCTTCCTCACATATGTTTTTGCTGTTGATCCAAAAAAAGGCAAAAAACCTAGTCTGAAGGCTTCTAATTTTGCAACGAAAATTCCTTCTTGACCCCAAAATAGCAGTCAGATGTCTCCTTGGATCAAGCAGCTATTACCCCACTAATTAGAAATTATATCCCTGTACGTTATGTTTTTGCAAGTATTTATCCAATTGCAGTTAAAACATCTGTGTAGACTCTGACAAAACCACCTCTTCAGGCAGAGAATTCCATATCCTTATTGCTCTTACTGTAAAAAAAACTTTTCTTTGCCTTAGATAAAATCTAATTTCTTCCAGCCTAAATTAAGTTGCATGGCTTGCATGGCTCTTCTGGTATTCATGCTCATTTATCTATCTACAATTAAAGGAACACTGTAGGCACTATAACAATTTTATCTTAATGAAGTTTTATAGTGCCCTCAGTCATATCCCCCCTGGCCTACCCCACTGTAAACCCTTTGTGTTACTAAATAGAAGGCTTGGAAGCAAGACTTCAAACCACAGATCTAAGCCCTCTGTGTGTGTGGGTAATATGATTTCCCTGCTCTCATACTGTAACATACAGTGATGTCACATGCGCAGTGCCATCATGGTATTTAAGTGCGTTTGATATGTTTTGGCCTAATATGCATGCTTTATTTTTTCCCTATTCTAATCTATTTAGTTCTACTAAACAAGAAAATATTTATTTACACTGTAACTCCACTACCTTAGTCACTATCTATTGTCACAAAGCAACTTCCTTAATAGAAGTATTCTTTATATGTACTTAGCCAATAAAAGATCAGTGTGAGCTGAGCTGCTGACATGTCTCCACCCCATCAGCTCAAACAGATCTTTCATTGACTGAACTACACTGTTTACCTTAAAGGGACACTATAGGCACCCAGACTCTTTAGCTAATATATGTTGTCTGGGTGCATAGTTCCAGGTCCCTTAACCATGCAAAGGTAATTATTGCAGTTTTTAATAAACTGTAATAACTACCTTAAGTGTTAACTCCACCTCTAGTGGCTCTCTACCAGTTAGGTGACTTTTGGTCGCCTAACTGATGATGGATGTCATCACGCTATGCAAAACGCTATAGGAAAGCATCATACAATTCTTTTTGACCTCTCTGCTGCTTTTGACACTGTTGATCATCTTCTCCAAACTCTTCAATCACTCGGTCTCCGTGACTCTGTCCTCTCATGGTTTTCTTCCTATCTCTCCCAACGCTCATTCAGCGTCTCCTTTTCTAATGATACCTCCACTGTTTGTCCTGTCTCAGTTGGAGTCCCTCAAGGCTCTGTCCTTGGTCCCTTTTTTGTTTCTCTTTACACTGCCTCTCTTGGCAAGCTCATTACCTCTTTTGGATTCAAATACCACCTGTACGCTGATGACACCCAGATATATCTCTCCTCCCCAGACCTCTCCCCTGATGTCCTGCAACGTGTCACCTCTTGCCTTTCTTCTATCTCTGATTGGATGTCCTCCCGCTTTCTGAAACTGAATCTTTCCAAAACAGAACTTCTTGTGTTTCCTCCTCCTAATATTAATCCTCCTCTCTCGCTCTCCCTTCAGATTGGTGGTACCCATATCAGCCCATCCTTACAAGCACATTGTCTTGGTGTTACTTTTGATTCTGGCCTGAACTTTGAGCCTCACATCGGGTCTGTTGTCAAATCATGCCAATTCCACCTCAAAAACTTCGCCCGCATCCGCCCCTTTCTTACACAAGATGCTACTAAAGAGCTTGTCCATGCTCTAGTAATCTCTCGCATGAACTATTGTAACTCTCTCCTAATTGGTCTTCCTAATAGCCGTATTGCCCCGCTACAGTCTGTGATGAATGCTGCCGCCAGACTGATTTTCCTCTCTATTCGGTCCTCTCACACCTCACCCCTCTGTCAGTCCTTACATTGGCTTCCTGTATCTTATAGGAGTCGATTCAAAGTGCTAACCCATACCTATAAAGCACTGAATAATCTTAGCCCCTCTTATATCTCCTCACAGATCCATAGGTATGCCCCTTCTCTGTCTCTCCGCTCTGCCCGTGACCTTCTACTGTCCGCTGCTCGTACCCGTACGGTCAACTCGCGCTTGCAGGACTTTTTGCGGGCGGCTCCCATCCTATGGAATAGCCTGCCTACCGCCATCAGACTCTGCCCTAGTCTTCAATCATTTAAGAAGTGCCTTAAAACTCACTTCTTTAGGAAAGCCTATGGCCTCCCAGACTAACATACCTGTCTCTTGCTCTCTCCTAAAGGGCAGCACTCTACTCTCTCCTCCAGCTCTGCTTCACTTCTGCCTATTTTGACTTCTATTCCCTGTCCTAATGTGTTTTATACCCCACCTCCTATAGACTGTAAGCTCGTTTGAGCAGGGCCCTCTTCAACCCTTCGTTTTTGTGAGTTTTCTTGTAATTGTCCTATTTATAGTCAAATCCCCCCTCTAATAATATTGTAAAGCACTACAGAATCTGTTGGCACTATATAAATCGCAATAATAATACATGCTTTCCAATGAGGTAAATACTAATGTGAGTTCGGCCATTGAAGAGTGGAGCCGAAGCCAGAAGGTGAGGGACATCGGCGCTAGACTCAGGTAAGTGACAGAGGGAGGGGTGCGCGAGTGATGTGGGCACTATAGGGAGCCAAAGTGCCAGGAAACAACTTTGTTTTCCTAATACTGTAATTTCCCTTTAAAAGCAAGAAAATGTTTTGACTAAAGGGGCGGTGAGGATAAAGGGTGGAGTTATGCTGCAGAAAGATGCAAAACATTTTATAAATAGATATATTAATAGATGGATGTGTGGCAGATACATGGTATCATATGGTATCACTGGCATAAGTATATTGTTCTGCAGTCAGAAAGTTGGTTGAGCACAATATACGGATATCCAATCCACAGCAGTTAGGGTGTCCAGGGTTGACTATGGTATGCAGACATACATCAATTGCCCATGGTATGCAGACGCACTACATAGGGAGAAGTCATACAAGGTTATTCACTAAAATGAGCATTCAAAGTGTATTTCAAATTTAAGACCTTGGTGGCTGAACTGAAAACATAGCTGACTTGTTTACAGTTCGACTACATTAAATTTAAATTTGAAATTCACTAATGTGAGTTTCCTATACTTGTTACAAACTTCAGTTCATTAATCAGTTAGAAGTGAGATATATTTTTTGTAAGTTGTTTTCATAATACTCTTTAGTAAAACCAGAGCGTAGGACAGAGCTGCAATTCTGAGATGTTCAAAGTAATAGATTACTGATTGTATGCTAAGACCCGATGTCAGCACAGAGGGTCTAAGATTAATGGCATAGCCTCACATTAGTATCATGCACATCAAGAGCTGGAGTGCAGCGTACATGATTTGCATACACACTGTGAAAATCCAAGTCACCCGATAGGTACCTGATTGTAAGTGGAGGCATGCATGGGGTAGAGTGTAGAACACAGGGGTGAAAGCAGACTTAGGGGCTTTAAGGAGAGGGAAATAGATGGTGGGGGGTAGGACAAGGGTAAAAGAGGAAAAGGTTGACAGGACGAGATGTAAGGGAAAGCAGACAAGAGCACATGTAAGGGAAGGTAGGCATGAGGAGATGTAAGGTAAGGAAGAAATTAGGAGATGTACGAGAAGACAGACATGAGGAGATGTAAGGGAAGGTAGACATGATGAGATGTAAGGGAAGTTAGACATGAGGAAATATACAAGGAGACATGAGGAGATGTAAGGGAAGGCGGCTTGAGGAGATGTAAGAGAAGGCAGACTTGACATATTATTCAGGCGCCCCTGCTGGCTGCCACACTTTTCTCAGGCTCCCGACCTCTCTAGGAATTATCTTAATTTTAACCCCCTTACACTCATAATTCATCACAAATATTTCAAGGACCAATATCGACTCCCCATACCACACAACTGGATTTACCAAAATTAAGCGGTTGGCATTACTAAACTGAGATACACAACGGATTAAAATATACTTCCACTGGTCCATCTTACTACCAGGAAGAGATACCTTCAGCCGAACACAACAAGCAAGGTACATTTAAACTAAAAAAACGACTCACCTCCATGTGTAAATAGGGTTTTGGATTTGATCATCCATTCAGCAATGCTCAGATTTCATTTCTAAACACCAAGAAAACTAATTGATGAAAATTATTTCACTAAACACATTGTTTTTCAACTCCTGTAATCTGACCTGCTAGTGGTTACCCTAAAATCACTTGGCATCTTCAAATGGACTGACAGGGGCTGCTGTGGAGGAAAATCAAAACTTAAAGTTCAATCTCCTGACACTATTACAGCTGCTCCACCACCCTGTCTACCTGCAAGCCCAATTGGAGTGATTCAACTTAGAAGCCACAAAAAACGCACTATCAAATCAAGGAAACCTCTTTGTGTGATACCCATTAGAAGACACACCGTTTCCAAAGTACAGAGCAAAAACTCTGAATCCCAAGACTGTCCTATCAGATCAATCCTGTGCAATGCCAGATCAATAAGAAACAAAACAGCCATTACTGCCAACCTTATTGTAACATGCGAATTAGCATGTATTACAGAATCATGGCCAGATGAAAATGCAAGGCCTATTCTAGAGGCAGCTATTCCAGGCAATTACACAGTGTTCCACTGCCCAAGACAAGATTGCAAGGGAGGTGGGGTTATGATCTCTATGAAATCATCCTTAAATCCCAGACCAATATCAGTCCACAAACCCCAATCTTTTGAATGCGTAGCTGCCAGCCTCTCAATAGATAGAGGATTCCAGAGACCCCCAGGAGATGGGAAGAGATTTCTTCAGGAACCTTTTGGCTGGCTTAATCATTGAACACCCCAGATGGCTTATATTGGGAGACTTCAACACTTGGATTGATTAAACCCTATCCTTGCGTGCACTCGCCCAAACAAAAATCGTCGCCACTTCCAGTCTGGACTAGAAGTGTCACCAGTAACTGTAAATTGCATGGTTAGGGGTCTTAGCTCTATGCGCTCCCAGGCAGAGACGGCACTCAGCCCTGGAAGCTCTTAGTCCTTACAAGGACTTCTCCCCGTTGCATGCCCCGCAAGCTGGAACAGCAGACACAGGGGTTAAATCTTCCCTCCCTTCAATAACAGGAAAAACACACAGCTTTGGAGGTTAAAACACAGAACTCTGACAATCTTTATCTTTACTCAGGGATACACATTAAACCATATTACATTTAGGGGGGTTACACTTTGGGGCTCAGCGCCCCTGCAAGTGAAGGGGGTTAAGGGTTGAAACCAACATTGCTAGATAGCCCTGGGTCCCCTCTGGGATGCCTGCAAAAAGCGGGGCAATATCAGCGTCAAACGTCTAGGCCTTGAGGCTCTGTACATTCCCGAAATTAGTTCCATGGCGTTGCTTGGGTAAGTCTGGCGAATTCAAACTTTGCGCCCCAAACCAAGCAACAACCAATCAGCTGAAAGGGCGTGAACCAAATCGCGCCAATCAGCATTCAGGGGAGGAAGGAGTTTTGCTGCCCAATCCGAAGAAAGGGCGCGAAACTCGGCTGCACCAATCGGTGCTCAGGGAGGAGAGGGGTTTCGCCGCCAATCAGGGGAAAGGGCGCAAAACTGGATTGCTGCAATACGCTGAAAGGTGCAAAACAAATTTGCGCCAATCAGCGCACAGGGATGAGAGGGGTTTCGCCGCCCAATCAGAAGAAAGGGCGCGAAACCCTGTTTGAACAAGTGCTCCTTCACCGATTGGTCACCAGCTCCCTGCAGCGACCAATCAGTGCTTACTTGTACCGACCAACCAGGAGAATGGCACAAACCCAGTTTGCATGAGCGCTCCCTCTCCCATTGGTCAGCATGGACTTCCATGTGGCCAGTGGGAATCTGTAGCCGTGACACCGACTCACGGCTCCAGAGATTCTCTGCTGGTGCGCGTCCCCACCCAGGTATCCACTGGAGAGAGAGTTCTCCTAGGCAGCTACAAGCCTAGCCTAATAGCTGCCAGGTAGGGGGATGGGAAACAATGACTATAGCTCCATTGGGGAATGGGTAGGACGGTCCCTGACATGGGGACTGAAGACAGGGTGCGCAGGGCAGTTGGGGATACGAATGCTGCCCCCTGGTGACGTTCGGCTATACGAACCGACGGCCACCCAGAGGCAGCATGCGCCACGTTAGCGAAGTGGGAACATTTTAACTATACATTCTAAATGGAGTATTGGGGTAGTCTGGCGCACGGTGCTCCGTGCGCCGGAGCACCCCCTTGTGGATGAAAAGTAAAATACAAGGGGAAACACATATTCAATAAGGGAAAATCATAACACTACACATTGGAGACACAAAATCCAAAACCAAACATATGAATACTCAATGGGCATGGCAATTAGTGGCGGTGTCCTGCCACAAGTAGTTTGGTCAGACCACCACTCCATTCACTTCTCCACTGTATCACAATCAGCCAGACATCAGCCTCAGAACCTGATCAAACACCACTCATTAAAAGGGGTGAAACACATTAACATCACACATTATTATTTATATAGCACCAAAAAATTCCGCAGCGCTTTACAGTGGGTGGACGAACAAACATGTAGTTGTAACCAGACACACAGAAACAGAGGGATTGAGGGCCCTGCTCAATGAGCTTACATGATAGAGGGAGTGGGGTAAAGTGACACAAAAGGAAAGGGTAGTATTAGACTAATGACAGTTGTAAGATAGGAATCAGTCAGGAGCTATTAACAGTTTAATTGATACGCTTTTAAGAGGGTTTTAATGATTTTTTGAAGGAGTGGAGACTGGGTGAGCATCTAATGGAGGAAGAAAGTGAGTTCCACAGGAACGGTGCAGCCCTCGAGAAGTCTTGAAGGCGAGCATCAGAGGTAGTAATACGGACAGAAGATAGACGTCTTCAGCAGAGTGTAAAGGGCCTTGACGGGACATACTTGTGTATTGGGAATGATAGATCGGCGGGAGCAGCATTATGTAAAAATTTGAAAGCAAGAACCCGAATTTTAAATTGAGCCCTATATCTTACAGGAAGCCAATGTAGGGACTGACAGAAGGGCGAGGTGTGTGAGGTGCGGGCAGACAGGAAGATGAGCCTCGCCGTTGCATTCATTATGGTCTGAAATGGTGCATGTTGGGAGCACGTGAGACCACTGAGTAGCGGATTACAGTAGTCAAGGTGAGAAAGGACAGTGGAATGGACCAACACCTTAGTCGCATCTGACGTTAAGTTGACGCAATGTTTTTGAGATGGAAGCGGCAGGATTTGGCGATAGACTAAACATGAGGCGTGAAGGAGAGGTCGGAGTCAAAGAAAACACCAAGGCAGCAAGCCTGTGTGATGGAGCTGATGGTAGCACTGTTGACTTGGAGAGAGATAGACACAGGAGTAGCAACACTTGAGCAAGGAAAGACCAGAATTTCAGTTTTGGTCAAGTTGAGTTTAAGGAAGTGGGCAGCCATCCAGTTAGAAATAGCAGAGAGGAAGTCAGAGACACTAGTCAATAGGGATCGGGAGAGATCAGGAGAGGACAGATAGATTTGTGTGTCATCCGCATAGAAATGATATTGGAAGCAAAAGGAGCTAATGAGTTTACCAGTATAGATTAGGCAGTATAGATTGAGAACCGTAGGGGACCAATGACTGAACCTTGGGGGACACCAACAGAGAGCAGTTGGGGAGAAGAAGTAGAGCCAGAGAAAGAAACACTGAAAAAGCACTGGGAAAGGTAGGAGGAGCACCAGGAGAGAGCAATCTTGTAGACCGATACTGCGGAGGATGAGAAGAAGCTGTTGATGATCAGCAGTGTCAAAGTCGCAGAAAGGTCAAGGAGAATTAGGATAGAGTAGTGACCACGAGATTTTGCAGCGAGTAGATCATTGGATACTTTGGTCAGTTCCGTTTCCACAGAGTGCTTAGCGCGGAAACAAGACTGAAGCGGGTCTAGCAGAGAGTTGGACTTGGGGAAGTCTGTCAATCTCACATACACAACTTTTTCAAGTATCTTGGATGTAAAAGGCATATGAATCTAAGTGATCTAATGGGCACCTGTGAAGACCCCAGCTCCTTAGTCCGACTCCACAACAAAACCATGAGATATACCCTAGAAAACACTGCACCAACACACATACGCACTGTCAAAACCCACAACAATGCACCGTGGTTTGATAGCACCATCAGAGAAATGAAGAGACCCGGCCGTAAACTCGAGAGAAAGTGGTGCAGGACACATGATGCAGAGGATAAAGCCACTCTTACCAAACATCTAAACAAAAATCAGTTCAATATAATCTTAATTTTTATTACGCAAAATTGCACTCTCCCACAATAGACCCAGGCAACTGTTTCGCACAGTAGAAAGGCTCTGCAAACCAGCATGCATGCATAGCCCCACCAACCTCTCTCAGGATAAGTGTGAAGCATTTGCGATCTTCATCAGAGACAAGATTTCCTCAATCCGAGCCTCTATCACAGCAGGCCAAACAGTTACACACAAGAACCACTACAATAGAATGCCAGATTGCCGCAGTTTATGGTCCACTTTTACAAATGTGAATATAAAGGGAGTAAAAAAAGAACCATGCAAACGTTACACCCTTCTACATGTGACTTAGACCATTATCCGCTTATATCTGCATGCATTGAAACACTCGCCCCAGCCCTCACAAAAATAGTGCAGTGTTCACTGAAAACTGGAGACTTCCCAGATACTTTAAAAAAAGCTGTGGTTAAACCACTCCTAAAGAAACCTTTATTAGACCCAGACTGCATGGTTAATTACAGACCACTATCATTTCCATTTCTGGGGAAAAAAAATTGAAAAAGTAGTGGCAACTCAACTGGAGGCCCATCTATCAAGCTAGAACATCTTTGATCCTTTCCAGTCAGGTTTCAGATGTTGCCACAGCACTGAAACACCGCTAGTCCAAGTGCTAAATAATCTCCTTATGGCGACAGACAAAGTTGATTACTCCATCCTAATCCTCTTGGATCTCTCATCTGCATTTGACACTATTGACCATAGGTTTTAATAGAACTGGTTTAAATCTTTCCTCACTGGTAGATCACAGAGAGTAACACCAGGATCAAGCTCATCGGCACCAAAAGAACTGGCCTGCAGAGTTCCACAAGGATACATCTTGTCTCTCATGCTATTCGCAATTTACTTGCTGCCACTGGGGAACATCATTAGGCGACATGGCCGAAGGTATCATTGTTACGCTGATGACACACAACTCTACTTCTCCTTTGCTCCAGATATCACAGACCCAACATGCAGCATCATCAGTTGCTTAGAAGACCTCATAGAATGGATGAATGCTAGTTGGCTTAAAGAAAACCCAGACAGAACAGAGTTGCTCTTGGTGAGGGGACCCCGGGCAACAAAAATATCCCATGATTACCTAACTGGCCTGGAGCTTTGAGGCCCCGAACTCATCAGTTCATCAAAGGTACGAAACCTCAGAGTGCTGATTGACTCTGGACTATCATTTAAACAGCAGATTTCCTCTGTAATAAAATCTACCTACTTTCATCTGAAAAACATAGCCAGGATACAACACTTAATTCCACCAGATGATATAACTCCATCGCATTCAGACTGTACAAAATGCAGCAGCCAGACTACTGACCAATCAAACTCAGTCCTGCCACATAACACCTGTTCTCCACTTCTTGCATTGGCTTCCAATTAAATGGCGAACATATTTTAAAATTGGCCTGCTAAACTTCAAAGCCTTAAACAATCAAGGCCCACAGTACCTGAAAGAGCTCCTGACACCTTACATTCCATCCTTGTCAGTGCCGAGAATAAAGATAGACTCAGGTTCCAGGGCATTCAGACACGCTGCCTCTACTTTCTGGAACTCCTTACCATGCTCAATCATTGAGGCACCGTCCTTGCAGGCTTTAAAAATAAAGCTAAAGACCCACCTCTTTCATCAGGCATTCAGTCCGCTCAGCTGACCTTCAGAAACTCCTAACTTTATGTTTTTACGTTTGTATACTTGTAAAGTATAGGATTGAGAATAGGGTTATGGTGGGGAAGAGAAACAGGATATGAAGAGAGTTGTATGTATGGCAGTGCTAGCTGGAATTTGGAGACAGAGAGATAAATCAGTCTTGGAGAAAACGAGAGAGACATCAGTTATTGTACAGAAGGAGAGAGAACACACATTAATGGGTAGACTGTAGCCATGGGGAGAACACAAAGATGCAAGAGTCAAAGGGAAGGTGTCAAAGACAAATTACAACTGACGCAAAAAGGAGGGAAGACACAGAAGATAGAGGTGAAAGAAGTGTTGAGAGGGAGAGAGCAACTCAGTGAAAGAGGGAAGAAGTATAATACCAATTTTTTATGTGGTGTCAACATATTCTGCAGTGCTCTACAATAGGAAACAAGGCAAACATTTAATTCTAACAAAACATGTATGACATATGGAAACAGTAGGTGAAGAGCATTCTGCCCGAATGAGCTCACATTCTAAAGATATGAGAATTCTGAGAGATCTGGCAGACATAGAAAAGATGGAGTGAAAGCAGGACGTCTGACAGAAAGGAGGAGGAAAGATAAATGTACTGATATGCAATAGTGGAGCTGTAATATTTTGCCTAGTGTGGTATCTGCTGTACTTATAAGAGGCTGCAATGATCATCTGGCACTGCTGTATGCATTCTGTGAAAAAGACCTGCCTTCGTGACTGATATTTTCCTTCTGTACTGCTCCTGTGAATAACACTAGTCTAATATACAAATAGTATATATTTGTTATTCTACAAGTTAATTAAAACATGCTTTAAATGGGTTTTCACTAATCTATTTTATTTGGAATATCGGGGCTGTAAGGTTAAGATGATATATAGCATGTTAGACACTTATGTATAGGCATATAGCACACTGACGTGCATATACACATCTTTGGCAGTAAATGTGTCGCGGCTGCTGACCCGCCGCGTGACAAGGCTGTGCCCGACCGGCACAGCCTCGCCGACAGCACGAGCTTACCTGCTCGTTGGCGAGCCGACAGCCGCTTCCCTGCATCCTCCGGCCCTCGCACCCGGATCCAAAATGGCGCTGACCGTGTGGTCGCACCTAAAAATAGCTCGGCCCCCGAAGTTTGTACTGACGTGCGCTTGACGTCACGACGTCAACGCGCACGCACGTTTTGGGGTCAGAGGTCGCCCTCTGACCAATCAAACCTTAGAGAGGGATATTTAAATCCCTAGCTCACCCCAGTACCTTGCCCTGTCGTGGTTTCCTGTTCCTGGTGTCCTGAGAGTGCTTTATCTTTGTGAATCTGATTTCCTGGTATCTTGATCTTGGCTTTTCCCTGGTTATTCTGAATTCTGGTATCCCTGACTTGGCTTGTGTTAATGGTATTGTGTATTTTCTGGCTTCCTTGACCTCGGCTTTCCCTTTGACCATTCTCTGTCTTTAGCGTATTAGTCCGGCCATTTTAAGATCCGGTTTACGCTCTGTCCTTTTTATTTTCCTTTTCTAGCCTATGTATATGTTTACATAGTTTCTGCGTTCTGGACCACACTAGTAGTCATGACATTACGACAGGGACATGGATCCTGCGGAACTATGCAAACATATGATTGCCTGTGAGAGTAGGGTGGAGGATATGGACCACAGGTTAGATCAATTTGCCCAGGCATTTCAGACCTTGCTCCAGAGAACTGCCTATTTAGAGGCACCTCCTGTACCATCTGTGGTTCCGCCACCTGTAGTGGCTCCCGTGCCACAAACCACCGTCCATAACCCTTTCACCTCCCCCTCGTTATGGAGGTGATTCGAAAGAATTTAGAGGTTTTTTAAACCAAATTGAGTACCACTTCGAGGCTTCCCCCGGTTCATTCCCTACAGATAGATCTAAAACTGGCTATCTGATGAACCAATTAACAGGAAAGGCTTTAACCTGGGCTAACCCATTATGGGAGAGTGGGAACACCGTAGCCCGTGATTACAGTGTCTTCCTAACAGCATTTAAGGCTACTTTTGAACCCAAAGGCAGAGAAAAGAACGCTGCCAAAGTCCTAATGAGAATAAAACAAGGCAGTTGCTCTGTAGCTGATTACGCCATAGAGTTCAGAACATTGGCGTCCGAGGTTGACTGGACCAATAGTGGTTTGGTGGCTGCTTTCTCAGAAGGTTTATCCCAGAGTATACAGGACGAAACCGCAGCTAGAGACCTTCCGGTTAACTTCAATTACTTTATTGCTAATATGATTTATATCGATAACAGGCTCAGAGAAAGAGAGAAAAACAAACAACGTAATAGACGTCCTAACTTGTCCATAGCCCCTCCTTTCTCTAACCCAGTGGTGGTTAGCCAAGCTCCACCTCCAGAACCTGAACCCATGCAATTGGGTATTGCTAAACTCACTGAGGCAGAGAGACAACACAGACGTAATGAAGGGTTGTGTATGTATTGCGGCAAGAAGGGACATCAAAGATTTTCATGTCCAGTTCGGCCGGAAAACTTGCGCACCTAAGGCACGTACGGGGGCCGATCTTAGGTGTGTATTTGTCCCCTAAATTGACTAAGAACCGTTTCCTTGTCAGAGTTACCTTATCTTTAAGAAGACCACCGTACAGTGTGAGGCTATGATTGACTCTGGGGCAGCAGAGAATTTTCTAGACAAAGAATTCTCTGCAAAATTTCTCCTGCCCTTAAGACAGAAAGAGAGACCCATAGCAGTAGAAGCTATTGATGGAAGGCCTCTTACCCAGCCTCTCATCACATACAAAACTCTGCCAATCACTGTCTCAGTGGGTATTCTTCATTCTGAAGAAATGGTTTTTCAAATCATATCTTCACCTACATGTCCGATAATACTCGGTTTCCCTTGGCTCCAGAAACACAATCCACGTTTAGATTGGGTTAAAGGAGAGATTGTGAGTTGGGGTGAGAGATGCAGAGGTGTTTGCTTAAAGCAGATGCCACAACCAATTGGTACCATCAATGTTCCCATTGCACCTCCCCTGACCACACAAATACCACCGCAGTATTTGGACTTAAAGGAGGTGTTTAACAAGGTCCAGTCGGAGGGGTTACCACCACATAGATCCTATGACTGTGCCATAAATTTAATACCAGGTACTATGCCTCCAAAGGGAGGAGTGTATGATCTATCCCCCCAAGAAAACCTTTGTTTAGAGGAGTATATTAAGGATGCTCTCAGAAAGGGCCATAGGTCCTCCTCACCCGCCGGGGCTGGGTTCTTCTTCGTCTCTAAAAAAGAAGGAGACCTACGCCCTTGTATAGACTATAGGGGTTTGAATAGGATTACAATAAAAAATGCCTGCCCTATTCCCCTTATATCAGAGTTATTCGACAGGTTGAAAGGAGCTCGAGTCTTCACTAAGCTCAATCTCAGAAGTACGTACAACCTAGTCAGGATTAAGGACGGTCACGAGTGGTTGACCGCATTTAATACTAGAATGGGACATTACGAATACCTGGTTATGCCGTTTGGATTATGCAACGCTCCAGCGGTATTCCAGGATTTTATTAACGATGTCCTAAGAGAGTACCTCCACATGTTCGTTTTAGTGTACCTAGACGACATTCTCATCTATTCTCCAGACCTAGAGACATATCATGAACATGTGAGAATAGTACTCAAAACCCTGTTAAAGAACGGTCTCTACTGTAAGCTGGAGAAATGCCAGTTTGACCAAACGGAGATACAATTTCTTGGATATGTTATATCTCCGTCCGGTTTCAAAATGGACCCCCGCAAGCTGGAAGCAGTCTTACAGTGGCCGTTGCCCAAGGGCCTTAAAGCTACTCAATGCTTTATAGGTTTTGCGAATTACTACCACAAATTTATTAAAGAGTTTTCTTCTGTAATTTCTCCTATAACTAACCTAACCAAAAAAGGAGCAAATTGCAAATCATGGCCCAAAGAAGCAAGAGAGGCATTTGAACAGTTAAAATCTTTATTTTCCTCAGCACCTGTCCTGACCCATCCTGATCCAACCAAGCCGTTTATTCTAGAAGTGGAGCCGTTCTGTCTCAGAGAGAAAGTCCTGATGTGCCTTTACATCCCTGTGGATTTTTCTCTCGCAAACTCACACCTGCAGAGAAAAATTATGACATAGGAAATAGGGAACTTTTGACCATTGTACTTGCCCTTAAGGAATGGAGACATCTCTTGGAAGGTTCCAAAGAGCTACTTTTGATCTTTACCGATCATAAGAATTTGGCTTATATTGGGGACGCTAAGAGATTGTCCTCTCGTCAAGCTAGATGGTCATTGTTCCTCTCCCGATTCAATTTCGTAATTACTTATAGGCCTGGGACCAAGAACACAAAGGCAGATGCACTGTCTAGACCGTTTGAGACAGATGAAGCTCCTAACCAGGAGGTATTCCCTATCATACCTCCAGAATGCCTCATTGCCACCACAGTTTCTGAAGTGTCTTCTCCACTCTTCTGTGCCATAATAGAAGATCAAATTCAGGCACCCGTGGGAAAACCTCCAGATAAACTGTATGTGTCACCTCCATTAAGAAAAAAGGTACTTGCTTTATTCCATGATAATCTCACAGCAGTTCATCCTGGAGTCCATAAAACCCTCTCTGCTATCTCCAGGAGGTTTTGGTGGTCTAGTCTTAGGAATGATATCAAAGATTATGTGGGGGCATGTCAAATATGTGCCGTTTCTAAAGTTCCTCCTAGATCACCTCCTGGACTGTTACAACCACTGCCCATACCGAATGCTCCATGGACCCATTTAGCCATGGATTTTATTGTGGATCTACCCAGTTCAAATGGGTTTAATACAATCCTTATGGTCATTGATAGATTCTCAAAGATGGCACATTTTATTCCTCTTAAAAAATTACCATCTGCTCAAGATCTCGTTCAGATATTCTTGAGAGAGATTTTTCGGTTGCATGGAGTACCCAAAAACATAGTGTCAGACCGAGGTACCCAATTTATTTCTAGGTTTTGGCGTTCCTTTTGTAAACAATTGGGTATCGAACTCTCTTTTTCGTCAGCATATCATCCCCAAACAAATGGAGCAGCAGAGAGAGCCAATCATTCTTTAGAATCCTATTTAAGTTGTTTTACCAATGCCAGTCAGTCTAACTGGTATGAGCTCTTACCCATGGCTGAATTCGCCAGGAACAACGCGACTCATGAATCTTCTAATCATAGTCCATTTTTTGTAAATCAGGGTTATCACCCCACAGTTTTCCCTTCTGACTTCTCAGACACGTACATTCCTGCTTTAAATACCCGTTTAGAATCTATTCATGATACTTGGGATTCCGTTCATTCAGCTCTGCAAAAGGCTTCAATACGTGTGAAAGTCCAAGCTGACAAGAAACAGGGTGCCAATCCTGTCTATCTTCCAGGTGACAAGGTGTGGTTATCCACACGCCATATCAAACTTAAGGTTCCTTCCATGAAATTTGCCCCTCGGTACATTGGTCCTTTTCGAGACATTCGACGTATCAATCCAGTGACCTATTCCTTGGCACTTCCTGACCATATGAGGATTGCCAATTCGTTTCATGTATCTTTACTCAAGCCTCTTACTTGCAATCGCTACACTAGAGTGTCCACTCCTCCTCCACCGCCCTTGGTAGTGGGTGACCAGCAGGAGTACGAAGTTCGTTCTATAATGGACTCCAAAATGTCAAGAGGTGTCTTGTCCTATCTTGTTGACTGGAAGGGGTATGGCCTTGAGGAACGTTGTTGGGTTCCTGCTGACCCGGTTTATGTGCCCCGTCTTGTCCGGTCGTTTCACAACCGCTTTCCCCTCAAGCCGGGTCCTTCTTCAAGTGGGGGTACTGTCGCGGCTGCCGACACGCCGCGTGGCAAGGCTGTGCCTGACCAGCACAGCCTCGCCAACAGCACGAGATTACCTGCGAGTTGGCGAGCCAACAGCCACTTCCTCGCATCCTCCGGCCCTCACGCGGCACCTCCGACGTCCTGGAAGCCCCCCGGCCATGTGAGAGTGGGGTCCTTGCGAGGACCCCACAATCACATGGCCGGGGGTAGCTGGCTGCAGCATTGCCAGCAAGGGGGCTGCCTGTAATGACAGGTGGTCCCCCTGCTGGCTGAAAATAAAATAAATAGTGTAAAAAAAAAAAATAATATATACTTAGATCATATATATATGTAACGGCTACCCTGGTGTAGAGAGGGTACCAGCCGTTAGGGACGTCCTTTTCTTCCCGGCAGTCGCTGTGTAGTGCTGAAGTCGCCTATTCCCTTCTGCTGGATCAGGAGTGGAAGCCAGGTACAGCTCTGAAAAGAGCTAAGTGATTAAGCTGCAGAGATTCCCCTTTCAAGAACGAGACGAGGCTATGTTTTGAAGGGTCAAGAAGAACTGAGGGTTTATTGACAGACACTCTGCTTTTATGTGATTCTGCCCATGCAAGGGAGACACCCACATAATTAGCAGTACAACCAATCCATACAATATACATTCAGTAAATTCCCTCCCCTCAGATAACTACATAACATAATTAAAAAGGAAAAAAAAATTCCCAAAGTTTGGATGTACCCCAAATACTTAGGGTACAGACATAAATTTGGTATCCCCAGATAGCTTGTTTCAGGTACCAACATATGTAAAAATCAGCTCAATCGGTTCAGCCGTTCGGGAGATATGGGACTTAGAAGATTTGACCGACCGCACGGGCACAGTAGCCGAAAACAGTTCCATGAATGCTGGCCCTGCAGTCGGTCTAAGAACGTGGGTAAAAACTCCCGAACGGCCGGCCATCTGTATACCATCCTGGGTTCGCTGAAATCCCCATCTGCTGCTGATTCTTTCTACCGAACGCCCAGTCGTTCGGTAGTTTTGGCGATGTTTTCCCGAAGGTATGGAGGTCTCAGCGGTGTTCGCCTGTTTGAGTGTCCGATTTTAGTTCCAGACATTCACCGGCAAACACCGCTGTTCGGGAGTTAAAATGGCCGCGAACGCGTGTAAGTCCCGAAATGGCGGCTGAGCTTACAGTTCCCATAGCATTCGTGCGGTTGATTTGAATAAAAGTGCCCATCAACGAGGGAGGTAAATTGGCCATAATTAGCAGTCAGGGTGGCCTGTTAAAGGCAGGTAAGCATTCGCATGGTGAATGCTTACAAAAATACAGAACGGCTGTATAATCCATCTGTCCTTTGCAGTCATACTGTGCTTGTTGTTACAATATATTGGAAGGCATGGCCTGAAGTTGTGGGAGGGGCTATAGACCTATAAAAGGGACTCCCCCCTTTCCCTACTTACCTTTGTTGGTCAGATGAATAGACTGTTCAAGGTCAGCATTTGCATGAGATCCACTTCCAGGTCATACAAGACGCCATTTTGGTTTCACCTTTGCTCCATGAGGTCTCCTACTCCAAGCAGTGTCCAGGAATCATGCAGCAGGGATTTCCGTTAATCCAGTGGCTTTCTCTCTGGTCAGCATCGCATTTGGTGTCTCAGGGACTCTCAAACCGTAAGTTGACCCACCTGTCGCGCCAGGATTAGTTCCCACGGCGTTCAACACAGCACGGGTCCTCACTTTACGGTTTCCTTTCGTTTTGCATGGTTATTTCGTTACCTTATACCAGGGCCGGACTGGGGATACAAAGCAGCCCTGGAAAAAAAATTTGTGCCAGCCCCATAAGTCACTGCGCCATATATTGTCGCCTGTAATATGTAAGGCTATGTCTTGCCAGGACAGATGATTGAGTAATATATATATATATATATATTGCTTTTTCTAATATAAAATATTGGTCCTTTCAGGGTAAAACGTTTAATTATACAGTAACCACTGCATTTTCACCTAGACACTGACCCCTACCGGTCATTCGGTGTACTACAGGCATCTCAGACATTATTGTATTTCATGTACAACCAACCACTGCATTTGAGCCTACACACTGACCCCTATCGGTCATTCTGTGTACACAGGCTTCTTAGACGTTTTTGCATTTCATGTACAAACCAACACCACAATTTTCATGTGGTGGTACTGGTACCTATAGCATATACTACAGGCTTTTCAACATAATTTGACTTTTCACAAAAAATTCACTTTATTTTGCTTACACACACACCCCTTGACAGTCATTCTTGCTGTACTAAGGTACTTCCGCAACATTGATTTGTACTTGGCGCTGCTAATAGCACTACACACACCCCTACCATATTATTTAAAGCCACTATGCATTTCATGTACAAATTCCAGAGTCTCAATATTTTTGGAATATTTGCATGTTATGCACGCTTAAACATATAAGCTATCCTTCCATATTATGTATTGTTCACATACTTTAGGTTGATTCAGCTGCCAGTCATGGTTCCCTGCAGGCTTCATGTTTCGCTGATGACAGTTGTATCTCCATCATCACACATGATATAACACTCCCGACAAGTTAATCTCCTTCAAACAGGGGCATTACAAGCATACAATAAACATTGGGATGGAGCACTTTGCTCTATTAAACTTGCATAACACACATATGGGTATATGCTTTTAAATGTCTATATATTCAATTTTCATACATTGTTTTACCCGTCTGGAATGCAGGTATTAATAACCCTTTCAACCAGTAAGGGTATCTAATCATACTACCAGGTACATACACCTGCTCATGTGGTATATACATACATTTTCTGCTTCCCCCTGGGTATATCCTTAGCGTACTGGCAATTAGGGACTATAGGTTTCCAATAGGTATTTTCCTTTCTTGGCATCTACGCCTGTCGTATAGTGGTCCCGCGAGGCCAACACTCCGCCTCAACGCTCTGAGGCAAACACCCATCGGGCCACTCGTGAGCTAGCCGCCTCGCATGGTATATAGAGAGGGCCTCACCTGTCACTCCCTTCCCCTTTTTTATGATTACAGTCACCGAGAGGCCAACATCCTGCCGCTACGTTTGGTGGATTTATCTCTACCTAACACTCCAGCTAGAGTCAACACACTTTCACTTGGAGATGTTGCTAGTCCCACAGGACAACTTTGTCCTAACACAGCGGACGATCACGTTTCAGGCTCCAGGCTCTAGCACCTCTGGTAGTACATAGAGAACTACCAGAGACAAATTGGGTCGTCTCATTCTCTTTGGCAAATCCCAGATTTGCTACAATTTCCATGTTGGAACATGTAGTTTCAGTGCATGCAGACTGTTGCAGATATGTTCCCAATGTGTCAGGGCACATGCAAAACCATGTGTCCCAATAAATGTACCCTGAACCTTACTTCTGTAAACATTATGCATTTCCAGTACTTTCTAACTCCTCACACTTCCAGACATTTAGTTTATTTCCTAATCTCCGATTTTAAAGGCCTTCTGTTAAGGTATTGCCATATACTTTTGGGGGAATCTAGAATGCCCTAACTTGCAGTCATCACAGCAGCATCCAACAGCTGGCATTACACTCATGGCCCAAGAAATGGCAGAAAGATTTCTACCTGGGCCTCTCCGATCTACACCATTTACAGTGTGGCGCAATCCCATTGGGATTGTCACAGGGAATCTTCCCTCACACTGTAACTGATCATACCCTCCGAGGAGTTTTCATTACAGTATGCCACCATTGTTCATACCATTACAACTATCACTCAAGCAGGGAGGGGAAGCCTGGTTAAGTAAAACTGATATCACAAACGCATTTCAGACTGCTACCATCCACCCTGCACTGGCACTTACAGGGCAGTTATGGGCAGCAGTTATATATTTCTTATCCCGCTTAACTTTCGGGTCAAGAGCAGCCCACAATCTTCAATATATTTGTTGTACTCTTTACTGGTTGTGGTTAAACATATCCAGATGCCCCACAGTCATACACTCCTGAGATGATTTCTTGTTGGTCAAAGGGAATGCCTTTCCCTCTAGAAGCTTCAAGGAAGCCATTAGTATGTCTGAACACTTGGGTGTCCCAGTATTCCATAAAGTCACAGAAGACCCAGACACTACCGTTACATTCCTGGGCAAACAACTTGACTCGGCATCCATGCCAACAAGTTACCACGCGAGAAATAGGAACAGTCGCAACAACACCAATTACCACCTCCTGTTTGGTACTTGCAACCACATGGAACTACAATCCCTACCAGGTTCCTTAAATTTTGCCATGCGCATCATACCGCAGGCCACGCTTTCATCTCAGACCACTCTGCTTTTTCCTCCCTCCCGAATGATGATCAGGGGCTGTCCCTAGAATACCAAGCCATGGCAGACCTACACATATGGTGGACTTTCTTAACCACACGTAATGGCAAACTATTGTTGCAGCAGCCGTGACAGCCGCCATGGCAGGGGGGTCATTTATGGTCAAGGTCATGGATTACATGAACCTCGCCAACATAGCCGGGCTATGACTAAACTGGCCTTGTCCACCAGCACTCAACACGCTTGCTACAGGGTTTTCCACTTTTACAATATGTTTAATGTCGGACTATCACTTAGATAGCTGGTTTGAGGTTTCACCACGTATGGCCTTCGCCTATTTTTGCCACCTTAAATTAATAATTCTCGCACAACATGGTTAAACTTTATCTCACGGGCATTCAACACTATACGTATTTCTCTTTCCCAAACAACAAGGGTTCCTATCCTCCTACCCCATCCATACCTTACTTAGAGACATGGCCAAGCGGACGTTCCCGCAAACACTAAATACTGGCCATAGACATACAATTTTCAAACCATGTCAGAACCACTCGACCATGCACTTCCGAGCCACACACCAATGCAGTTATCAAAACTGCTACCTATCTAGCCTCTAACGGCTTTCTCAGGCCAAAACAATAACTCACTATCAGCGGCCAACATCATAAACAAGAGTGCCTGTTGACCTCTTATCTTCTAAAACACACAGACCACTATGTCCGGTCCCTTCCTAAAACTAAGATGAGTCAGAGGGCCGAGCCAGTGCTTATAACCTACTACCTTACAAGCAATGCTGGGTGCCCGGTTAAGGTACTGATTACGTTCTTGGGCACGCCACCATACACACCACTGAACCATTACTGTCGCTGTACGATACTGTCCTTACCACAGTTCATGCACTATGTCCACCTACTCATTCACCAGGCTCTAACTAAACCCTAGCGACTACTTTAGGATAGGAGCAGCTTACAGAGCCTATAGCCAAGACATACCCACACACGTTAAGACACGGGGCCGTTGGGAATCATAGGCTTATGCGATTTACATACCACAGCCGATTCAGGAATTGGGAAGCTTTCATTAAAATGTCTAACTGATGGTTAACAAATGCACTACGATCCTGTATAATGTTTTGCATTAATATGTCTCTTTTTGCCCACTTTTTACCGGCCTACAGCATACGTCGGTTTCGGCACACCTCAACCGATTATTCCAAAGCTACATCTCTACAACCCATCTTATTCTATATCATATGAGAATGCCCCGAACACAAATTGGAAGGCATGGCCTGAAGTTGTGGGAGGGGCTATAGACCTATAAAAGGGACTCCCCCCTTTCCCTACTTACCTTTGTTGGTCAGATGAATAGCCCCACCCTCCACTCCCATTGTTCATATTTCCTCTATGTAAGCCCACTTTTTACCGGCCTACAGCATACGTCGGTTTCGGCACACCTCAACCGATTATTCCAAAGCTACATCTCTACAACCCATCTTATTCTATATCATATGAGAATGCCCCGAACACAAATATTATATATATATGATCTAAGTATATATACACATATACATACACACATGTACACTGTCTAGGTGTATTTTACTATTAATATATATATATAATAATATATATATATATTAATATCAAATTACACGTAGACTGATACTGATTAAATATATATATAATTATTGTTATATATATTTATATATAATATAAAAAAAATGTAAATACGTAAAAAAATAAAATAAAAAAAATAATTAATTAAAAAATATATAGATGTGTGTTATTTCGTTCTAACTGTATTGTGAAATTAATATATATATATATCAAAATACACGTAGAACGAAATAATATATATATCTATATACATAAATTTATATGTATATATCACTATATATATACCTATATATAAATAAAAATATTTTAAAAAAATTGTATAGATATATACATATATATACACATACGTATAGATATACATATATTAATTCTACATATATATTTATGTAATATTTTTATATAATTAGGTATCTTAATTAATTACAATTAGCGGGACCTGCCTGACAACCCATGCCGAAAGTAAAGGGAATTTAATTTGCTAGCACTATATTTAACCCTATAACTTTCCAAGACACCATAAAACCTGTACATGGGGGGTACTGTTCTACTCGGGAGACTTCGCTGAACACAAATATTAGTGTTTCAAAACAGTAAAATGTATTACAACGATGATATTGCCAGTAAAAGTGAAGTTTTTTGCATTTTTCACGCACAAACAGCACTTACACGGACAATATTATTGCTGCGATACTTTTTACTGTTTTGAAACACAAATATTTGTGTTCAGCAAAGTCTCCCGAGTACAACAGTACCCCTCATGTACAGGTTTTATGGTGTTTTCAAAAGTTACAGCGTCAAATATAAGGCTTGTGTTTCATTTTTTTCACATTAAAATTCGCCAGATTGGTTACGTTGCCTTTGAGACCCTATGGTAGCCCAAGAATGAAAATTACCCCTATGATGGCATACCATTTGCAATAGTAGACAACCCAAGGTATTGCAAACGGGGTATGTCCAGTCTTTTTTAGTAGCCACTTAGTCACAAACACTGGCCAAAATTGGCGTTTTTTGCATTTTTCACACACAAATAAATACTAACGCTAACTTTGGCCAGTGTTTGTGACCAAATGGCTACTAAAAAAGACTGGACATACCCCATTTGCAATACCTTGGGTTGTCTACTATTGCAAATGGTATGCCATTATGGGTGTAAATTTCATTCCTGGGCTACTATACAGTCTCAAAGGCAACGTAACCAATCTGGCGAATTTCAATTTCAAATGTAACGTGCTATATTTGACCCTGTAACTTCCCAAAACGCCATAAAACCTGTACATAGGGGGTACTGTCTTACACGTGAGACTTTACTGAATACAAATATGTGTATTTTATTGCAGTAAAAGCAAACAGTATTATGACATTGACAGTTAAAATGTCATGTAGAACTAAAAAAATTAAAAAAATCTTATTTTCTCCCATTTTTTTCATATTAAATTATGTTTCATAGCTAAATATTTGATATTAAATGAAAGCCCTGTTTCCCCTGAATAAAATGATATATAATAAGGGTGGTGCATTTACTATGAAAGAGGTGAATTACGGTTGGACAGACATGTAGCGCAAATGCCAGGTTTTGTTTACATTTTGTTTTGTTCACAACGTGTACATTTGGCTCCGTCCTTAAGGGGTTAATTGAACAGGTCACGTGTATAAACAGTGTATGAGGCTAGAATTTGTGTAGAATGTGTGGTACCTTTAGAGCACTTTACAGGTCAATATTTATAAAGTGGAGGAGGCTTTAACAAGCCATCATTCTATGACACAGGATGGGTTTTGTTCTCCTCAAGAGTATCAGAAAATCTACAAAGTCACACAGGGGGCTCCTTATAACTCCTACAGGAGGGGAGAACCAAACTTTCAAAATGAACTATTTTACTTCAAAAAAAATAACAAACACAAATGTGGCACCCTGTGTTTCCATTTAACATTTAATTGTCAGTAGATGTAAAACGCCATTCCATTATGTTCAGGAGAAAATTTTAGTATAATTATGTCAAACCATATGCTTTTTTTTTTTTGACATGTTGGATACTTGTTGTTTAAAGTTTGTGGCTTTAAAGTTTGCGATTGTGAATGACAGACTTTAAAAGAAGAGTAAGACAATTTTTAAAACACATGGTTTGGGTTAACTGAGGTCAAAATGTCACCTACCAGGGGGTTAAATACATAAAATGTGAAGGGTTTCACAAGAGAGGCAGCTCCTGTATTTTCCGGCAGCTTTTAACATTCTACAGTATAGATTATATAATGTGACTACTCAATTTATGGTGAGTTACAGATATTAATGGCATTGGTAATCATACTAGTTCATAGGACACTATAAATGAAAGTATTGTACTAGACTCCTTTGAAGTAAAACGTGTATTATATACCAGAAAATGTTATGTAACAGCCTGCTCTGTTTTTGAGAGTTATCTAAAGTAATACAGCAATATTTCAGGGCATGAATTCCATATTTCAATGTGCTGAAATTATATGTGTGTATAGTCAGTACAGTGCCAAGCACTAACCAATTCATATAGGTTGTTTAGAACATTTCTTGCTGTATAAACAAGTCAGTATTGTTAACAAAAAAATAATAAATACTGAAGTAAACTGAAAGTATTTAGGCAAAATTAGCCAAGCTGTGACTTTTGGAGATTTTTTGATGTCAGATATTTTTTCCTACATTATGTAGTTCGGTTTTCAGTTCACTGTATTTCAGTGTTTAGTGAGTAAACTCAAATGTTATCATTACTTTTATTTAAATAGAGCCAACATATTCAGCTATGCTGTGCAGAGGTGAAATAAGGATTGGCAAAGGTTGTAGACAGGACAATATCAATAATGGCTTCCCTGCCTGCCCATAAGTTTAAAATGTAGCTATGATTAGTAGTAATTTTATACAGGGGTCAAGTCCTGGGTAAAAAAGTGTGGGAACTCACCCAAGATCCACCCCCCCACCCAAAAGCATCTTCACCTGTGTACCTCTTAACCCGCCTTTTACTTCTCATCCCTTTTTTAAAAAATGTCTTCCCCCTTAGTGTATCTTATACCTTATTTTTCCCCATTGTGTTTCTTACACCTCCATTGTGTATCTCTTGCAACCCCCCTTTGTGTGTCTCTTTCCCTCCCAGCCCCTTTGTGTTTTTTACTCTTACCAGCTCCTTTGTGTGTTTCTCTTTTACCACCAGCCTGTCTATGTCCCCCCAGTCCCTCTGTGTCTCTTTTTCCTCTTCTCAAGCCCCTCTGTGTTTTTCACCCCCAGGCATAGTGTTCTTCGTCCCTCCCCTGTCCCATAATGTTCTTTCCCCCCTCCCCTGTCCCATAGTGTTCTTTCCCCTCTCCTCACCTCTCCCATAGTGTGCTCTCCCCCATCCAATAGTGTTCTTCCACCCCCATCTCATTCTGTTCCTTACCACCCTCCCTCCCCTGTCCCAAAGTGTTCCTTACCACCCCCCTCCCCTGTTCCATAGTGTTCCTTACAAACCCCTCCCTGTTCCATAGTTTTCTTCTCCCCCCCCTCCTCTGTCCCATAGTGTTCTCCTTACCACCACCCCCTGTCCCATAGTGGCATCCTTATCAGCCCCCCTCAACCTGTACCATAATGTTCTTTCACCCCCGTCCCATAGTGTTCTCCTTACCACCCCTCTCCCCATCCCATAGTGTTCTTCCTTATACTTCCTCCCTCTGTCCCATAGTGTTCTTCTTTACCACCCCTCCCGTCCCTTAGTGGCCCCCCTCAACCCCCCATGGTTCCTACCTCTCTTTGTAGTGTGGGTGAGCGGAACAGACCACAGTACATGAGATTCAGTTTTCTGTCCCCGGCTAGACTGACAGGAAGTGTTCTCTCAGTGAGCACTTCCTTTCAGTCCGGCTGGGTATACCTCCTGCCAGTCACTCTGATCTAGCGCCCCCCATGCCAGTGAGCCCTATGGTGGCTGCTTGTGCCACCTTATGGATTCGCTGGCCCTGCCTGCAGGACTAGTAACGGGAACAGGGTTCCTGCTGTGGAAAAAGTGCAGGAACGCCATTCTCATGCGTTCCTGCAGGACTCGAGCCCTGCTTTTATACAACACACATAGCAAGAATGTTTGAGATCCTAATAAGAGCAATTATAACGCATGAATGCATGGTATAATGGAGAGAATGATAAAGAATGTTAGATGGGCAGGGGTAGGCAGGCTAAGGGCCTTATATGGCCTGCCTCCTGCAATTATTATTGCCCATATTTGGGAGGATATGCACAGCCCTCCTGCAGGCACTTCAGCCAGTATGCACAAGGCATGCTGTACTGTCTTTCTCTCATCCTGCCATTAATATCTGTGAACAGTACATGTTGAACACAACATGTCATTTGTTATTTTTACTGCCCCATAAGATCAATATTAAATTTGACATTTACCTTCTTTCTCTTTCTGCTCTGTTTCTTCAGGTTGTCCGTCCTTCCAACCACGCCACCATTCAAAGTATTGTGAAAGCTGTAGGCATCATTCCTGGAGTCCCAGAGCCATGCTGTACCCCTGAAAAGATGAACTCACTCAGTGTCCTTTTTTTAGATGAGACTCGCAATGTGGTGCTTAAAGTGTACCCCAATATGTCAGTGGAGAGCTGTACCTGCAGATAGTGAGGGTTGATTCATACTCTCTTCCCTCAGAGTCTTTCAGCAACTCAAATGGGTCCTGGACTGTGAAGGCCCTTACGATTTTATCTTCCTCTCGTTCTTAAGCCCACCACCAGTGCAGCAGGCTTATGTTCTTCTCCACAATACTTATTTAGTCAGCAAGGCATTGCTGGAGAAGAATGCATCTCATTAGGGGATACAACAAGGTATTCAGATAAGGCCTACACAATGAGATTAGAAACAGGAGGTATCATTTTTGGTGCAAGGTATTTGTAATTACCGCCCTGACCTGGCAATATGGATAAAATACATCATTTCACCCTGCATGCAGCCAGAGACAAAAATAATGCCAGATTTTTATTGTTTTACTTTATTTTTTACTGTATTTTTATGAAATAATTACAAAAATGTATTTTTAATATTAAGCTGTAATGCAATAATATATTCAGAAAAAGTAGAAGTCAGTTTATTTGTGTGTAAAAATTCTAAGCTATATTATATCACTATGTGCATCTATTAAGTACACTAGGTAACTTTACTTTTGGCCTCACAATATTTGTAAATGATTTCATAAAAAAAAAAAAAAAGCCTAAAACCACTGAAAAATGAGTCCACAGTGATGTAAACACTTGCAAAAGATATGGAAGCCATACATGAGCTGCTAAAAATTATTATATTGATCTTTATGATCAAGAATGATCTCTATAAAATGCATGCCAGAACAGTCATGACATCGACAAGTGTTAAACACATATAGATGTTTACTGAAAACAATGTATTGTACCCAGCTTGATTTGTGCTGTTCCCAACTCATTACTTCTCCTGTTTCTCACACTTTATACAAGCTAAATAGGAAGCCTTCTCCAAATGATATCAACTATTTAATATCCTTCACTGTTATAGGCTGTCTGAGTTCTAAACAATGAATTTTGTTTCCTCTTAGGTAGATTAGAATGCCAAGTGACAGAAAGAGAAGGATGCAGGAATTATATTTTTTATTTTCTTCTTTAAAGTGCCGTAAAAAGGATGGTTCTGTCCGAATTAAGGTTATATTTAATAAATTAATGAAAAAGCATCCATCATATGTGTTAAATATGGAACCTTATATCTTAATACTATTGTCATGCTAGGTAATCAATGGTCAGGTATCTCCAAATCAATGTGGAATATGGATTGGTAACCACAGATTATTCAACTTGGAAAATCAACACCATCACCTTGAAATTCAGAAACTGTGATAAAATATCAGACACATTAGGGGTTATTTGTTAAACTCTAAATTGTAGAAAAATAAAATCTGAAACTGCAAAATTGAAGCTAAAATGCCAAAGATGTGCCTGTAAATGGAATTGATCATTTTTACAGATAAGCTATCTTTGTCTAAAGTTTGTCATATGAAAGCAGATTTAATATAATTCGGAGCTTAGTAAATAACCTTGTCTGGTAAGCAGTTCCATTATGTGTTCAAGTTTAAAGAATAAGTCATTGGATTTTCATAAATCACGTAACCAGATCTTTTTATAATACTTATTGCTATTGCACTACAGAATGTCAATAATGCTTTTGGTTAAGTAGTATTCAAGTGTTGTTATGTCAGTTCTGCTACACAACACAGCTCTTTTTCAGTTTAATATGTTAGTGTAATGATGTTATCATGAACAATTTGCAACAAATCAAGAGAATACTACCTATCAGCCAAAATTATCTCTTAAACTGTCACTTCCCAGGATTTGTAATATTATTTTTACGAATACCACATATTTAGCAAATATGTTTTTCACAAAATTGAAAGTAGAAATCTAGGATAGTTGTCCATACCACTATGTTACAAATATGATTTCATTAAGTTAATGAAGGCTTATTGATATTGCAACAAACATTTTTTTTATTTTTTATTTAAACACTATTCACTGAACATTGATGTTCCATGCTGTCATGACAATTTGTTTTGTGCTGACCTCATGCCAGCATTCAATATCCGGATTATTTTGCCTCTTGAGAGAAGCCTTCTGTTGCTCAATATGTTGGATGTTTCATGTCATCATAAGCCTTTAAATACCAGTCATTGAGTTCTATTGACAGAGCAAGGGTTAAAAACTGCTTAATGAATAACATTTGTCCCATAGACTTCAAAGAAATAACTACTAGTCAACAAATAGAGTAAACACTTACTTAGCTAAAATAATCCAGCAACAGATTAGGATGGCAAATACTGTCATTGGTCCTTAGCGAGTTAAGATCCAAGTTTTATCAGACGTTGTCCCAATACAGTATCACAGTGGCCAAACAAAACTCTTATATTCTACCAAGATAAGTATCTATGCAATTCAATCGATACGTGATTTACCAATTTTATTTGGATAGATCTAATGTTTTCAAAAAACCTAGCAAGGTTATTCACTAAAGTGAGCATTATCAGGAATTCAAAGTGAATTAATTGTAGTCGAACTGGAATAATTCAGTTTCAATTTCAGTTTAGCTATTTTAGCCTTAAATTTGAAATTAATTTTGAATTCCTGACAATGTTCCCCTTAGTGATTAACCCTGCTAGGCTTTTAAAAAAATTAAAAAAGAAATACTTCTATCCAAACAAAATTAGAGTTCAGAATTTAGCAGGACCCAGAAGCGGCAGGTCTTTAGACTAAGTCAGCAAAGTCCAAGCAATTGATGAATTCTGCTGTGTCTGAAAGCTGAGTATAGAGTAGTTGCTACCAAGTCAGCATTAGTGAATGTAGGACCTTATAACTACTAGCTTTTCGTCATCAGAACATATGAGGAGTTTACTGCAGGAAGTTTATTCTTTGTTTCAGATATCTCTCTGGGTTGCGTGGATTATTTGTAACTCTCCCCCTCTGTTTTTATTGTTCTTATGATATGTATATTTATGTTGTTCAAACCAGTTTATGTAAAATATTTTTATATTAGACTTGTGTATAAAAAACTTTTTTTTTTACAAACTCTTGTCTCGGTTGTTTATTTGTATTACTTCTACCAGTAATTGTAAGGGATCAAAGTTTATGAAGAAACCACTACGTCCTTTTGTAAAGGAGACCTAAACTATGCAAGCTGGATGGGCAAAACATCTTATCTGTGTAACCTGTAATATGTGGGACTATATGTGGGAACACAGAACTAGTAGTAAGTCGTGGTCTGTAGTTCGGGTCTAGGGCAGGGTGAGGCAACCTTTGGCACTGCGGATGTTGTGGACTATATCTGCCCTGATGCTTTGCCAGCACTATGGCTGTAAGAGCATTATGAGAGATGTAGGCCACAACATCTGGAAAGTTGTAGGTTGCCTAGCTCTTGTCTAAGACATTTTAAAATGTTTCATGGACGATGGTATAATGGGCTTCCCAATTACATGCCGTGTACTGCACAACACCTGTTACTCCAAATAAGGAATGTTATGTGGATAAAGACGATGAATACTCTTAACCGAGGAAGACTGAAACACAAAACATTACAATAAACTGATTTTTTGAGCCACACTTTTAAAGTCATTTTTTTGCAATATACTGTTTTTCAGTTTACATGATCTACTATTAGCAGTTTAATTGTTTTTGTTGTTGTTTGTGAACTGTATTGTTTGCATGTTTTTTTGTGTATGTATATAATACATTGTTAAACACAAATACACACACCAGTCAAGCCATAAGATTTGCTTTTCCCACAGACATCTCACTTTAACAGTGCTCTCACTACTGCAAGGGATTCTGGGTAGGCGTATGCAAATGAGCTCAACAAAGAACCACATTTTTGCCTCAATTCCACTTTGTACATGGATCCTTGGAGTATGTGTCTGCTGCATACAACAGCTTTGAAACACAACTCAGGAAGAGGAGCAAAGCCAGTGAATCCTACCCAGAATCCCTTGCAGTAGTGAGAGCACTGTTAAAGTGAGATTTCTGTTGGAAAAGCAAGTCTTATGGCTTGCCTGGTGTGTGTATTTGTGTTTAACAATGTATAAACTATCCACTTACTTCAAGTGGAATGGGTTTTCATCCACTCTTTTTTCCCCATCACAACTATATTGGTATATATATATATACACACACATTTTTTTTTTCTCAACATATTTAAAAAATATTACAATTGGTTTGATTTTAGTGTGCCCTCCAGTCCTTGGGATGAAATACTTCAGGCAGGATCACTTGATCAAATTCTCAGTGTCTTGCAATGATCAGCACACTAGAGACTTTATAGGAGCTAATAAGATTCCTATCTGATTTTATGCTCTGGACATTAATGCAGAATTGTTTTTATTTTCTCTGAGTATATAATGTATGTGACCCTTGGTCCTGATAACAGATGATAAGCAGATAATGGTTGGTAAATATTCACCCCTAAAGTACTGTATCTATGAAAACGTGTTTCAAATTTGCATGTTTGTTTTTAAGATATTTTAATAATACATCTCAAGCAACCTGTAATGGGATAACTGCCAGCTCTAAATGTGTGCCTACTATTTCGCACATCCTGATTAAATCTGCACTTTTACAAAGGGACTATTTTTCTATATAGAAACCATAACATTTAGACAGTTTTTATGTCCTTTGCTGATTTAAAGTTGTGATTTAGGTTAGTAGTGACAGGTCACCTTCATCTGATCTGATGCCCTGTGTCCTTTGTCCAGCCCTCTACTTACAAGAAATGGCCAAAAAAAAAGTTTATGAGAACAAAGAGACAACAACTCAAATCACTTGTCCTTTGATGGGTGCCTGCTCACTTGTGCCATTTCAGAAGAAAGCTTAGTCTGTCACACACAGACTGATCCTACTCACAAGGATGGCCCATAGCCAAATTACCAGCAGGCTCCCTGTGCAAAAGAGATAGAGCAAATCCCAAGTGATTGATTCAGCCGTCATTGTGTCTCATCAGAGAAGTACAGTATAGCTGATGCTCTCATATATACAGTAAGCAAGAGTTTCATAGCTGTATTATACTTTGGACTTAGGGTGACCCAAATCATTTTCAAATTAGCCAAAAACAAGAATTTCTGAGAACACTGTTGGGTTATTCGCTAAACTTCAAATTATTGCAAATTAATTCTGATTGGCAAAACTGAGGCAAATATAGCCATGTTGCAAATTTTGTTTCAGCTTTTCCATTTAGATATAATTTGTGAAAATTCTGAATTTAGTGACGCATACTGAAACAGACATATACACATATACAGACACACAGACATACATAGTGGTACACAGACACATACATACATACAGAGACACACACACAGGCATAAGGACATACAGACACACACATACATACATACTGACATACATACATACACACATCCATATAGACATATACATACATACCAGCATTCATACAGACACATACATACTGACACACATACATGCACATACTGACATACATACAGACACATTCATACATACATACATAAATACATACTGATATATACATACATACATACTGGCATACATATTTACATACATACTGACATATTCATACATACTGACTGACATATATATACATATAGGCATACTGACATACATACATACAAACATACTGACATAAAGTGTAATTGCTCACTCACATTTAGTAGTGCTTAAAACAAGCCCCAGTATCAGATAGCGTGCAGTGGTATAATGGTGAGGGATACAGATATAATAATGAGGGTATAGTTAAAGTATGTGATCATACAATATATTGTGGCAGGCTTATGCAATGTATGATCATTTACTGTATCTAAACCCTCATTCATTTTTGCCTATTTTTAAATAAAATTATTACATTCTGTTAGACTTGAAATTGCTGTTTAGTGAATGAGTGAGTGTCCTGGATACTGTATGTTGTATGAATTTGGCCCCAGCTGTATGTTCAGGTGAGTGCAGCCCTCTTGGTTTTATATATATATATATATATATATATATATATATATATATATATATATATATATTTCCCAAGGAGACTTACTTGTAAGGTGGTCTGAACTAGAATTGAAAACTGGTTTCTAGTTCTAGTGTTTGACTTTTAGAAACCCTACAGTATACACAGTACACAGTGTAATGCTCATTGGTCGCACATTTGAACAGCACACATGGAACAAAGTATTTTCTACAAACAGTTATCAAAAAAAGACCTGCCAAAGTCAGTCATGTTGGTCAAAGTTAGAGTAAGTGGCACTAGTAGCAGACAGGCACAGCTGTAACCTAACCAATCTCACACTTGGATCAATGACTCAGTCTGTCTGTCACACTCCCATGAATCTTGAAGCACCTGAACATGCTCGTCCATTGCGCTTGTCATCAGGGCCAGTGCAAGGATTTTTTAGCTACACAGACAAAGATGCATTTTGTGTTTCATATCCCCTCTTTTGAATGTCTTACCCTTTTGCCTCCTTGGTACCAAATGGCTTTAGTTTGTCTTACAACCCCCCCTTGTGTGTCTCTTCCTTCACCCAGCTCTTTTGTATGTCTTTTACTTTCCCCCAGGCCCTTTGTGTAGCTCTTTCTTACCCCCAGCCCCTTTGTGTGTCTCTTTCTCCCCAGCCCTTTTCCTTATCTCTTTCTTCACCAGAGCCCCTGTTAAGACACCTCCAGTGTCTTTAGGCAAAACCGCCGTTTAGTAGACCTTCCCCGTCTGCAGTAACAGTAACTCCGTTCGCCTAACCTGTAGTACACGAACCAAATGCAGGGGAAGCGGCAATCTCCCGACCGGGATCCGTGAACGGCTCCAAACTCCCGAACGGCAATACACGAACTGCTGCTAGCCGCCGAACAACAATATCCACCAAGCGGCTTTCGGTTCCATCCAGCAGTCTCTAAACGTGAAGAAGAAATCCCCCCAATAACGAGACAGAAGCTCCGCATTGGGGGTCAAACAGGATCTGGCTTTACTGTGGGCTACCTGCCCGTATTTATGCAGGTCTCCCACTTGGTGGACACTCCCCTAGGGGACCAAATGGGAGACTTAAATGACAGACAGATATGGGGACATTCCAGACACACAGTCACAGATTTTACCCACAGTGCATTATGATTCCCTCCCCTCTGCCCTGGAGATAATTACCGAGTAACTCAATTATCTCCAAGACAAAGCCAGTCGCCATTTTAAATATAACATCATAAAAGACATAAAAATACATAACTTTCAAATAACTGAACATTTCCCATTCGTATCACATATCCCCAGATAGCCTGGATCTGAGTGCATATTATTAGCGAATAGCGCTCAGATCCCACACACATAGTTCAATCGCCATGGAGTCAAAGTTCTTACAGTCTTTCGGTATACGAATGACTCCATGGGAAGGCTATCTGGGTTAAGTCTTTTCGTATGCTCCAAACCTCCCGAACGGCCGGTATTCGTATGCTTTCGTGGAGACAGCCAGGCGTTCCGTTGTTTCAGCGGTGTTCGGCAGAAAAAGTGTCCGTTTTTAGTTCCATAGAAATAGAGCCAAACACCGCTGGGCTTTCGCGTGGTTTAAAATGGCCGTTGCCTCGTGGTCGACATACGAACGACGACCACCCTGAATTCTGTTTAATTGAGAAGTGTCTGCGGTTAACCACAACGTTCTAATTGGGATCAATAGGTTAACCAGCAGCACACTTCTCTCCTGGGTGGCCGTCCGTTCGGCAGGTTTGTTTGGGAAAAAAAGTAATTCGAATGGCTGGGCTATAGAAAACAGCCATTCATACGAACGGGATACAAACAGACGAATACACCCCAAATACAAGCAGGCAGATGGTTCTGTCACAGCCCCTTTGTGTGTCTCATATCTCCCAAACTATATAGATATAGATATGCAGGCAAAAATACATCCACACAGTCACAAAGATATACGGACACAGTCATAAAAGGGCCACAATCAAACACAATCATACAGGCACACAATCATACAATCTACACATACAGGTACAGTGTCATACAAACACAGACATACAGTCATACAGAGACCCACAGGCACTGTCA